CACAAATATAAATTCATTTATTCAACTATAAAGAATAAAGAATCGAAATACTTTATCATAATAGTTTCATTTTTCGACATTCAACAGTCATTTTTAGTCTATCCTTCTTTTCACATGCTTAGATCAACGCAATACACGTTTTGAGCTTTCAGATGCTTTTTAAAAAATCGCATGAAAATGATTTATTCAACTTGGGAAGAATCAAAGGTCTGTCGAAAATGCTCTTAGTCTAATATGATATATTCAGATCAAAACATTCGAATATTATATTGGAGCATCAACCTTTTATTTGAAATTATAAAAATAAATTAATAATGGAACTGAAAATATTTAATTCTAATAGAAAAAAAAACTAACAAACAATAAATATAGCACTTGTTATTGTTAAAAATTCTTCGAAGAAAAATTCATTTCATTTTCCTATACTCAGCAAAGGAAGAGAAAGAAAGAATTTAACTATGAAAGAATATCATCTTCTTTAATAACTAATATACAAAAATATATTTTCTCTTTGTAAATATATTTCATTTTAACATTTACTCACCTTCATATCTACCAAGGACTCAACGACGCGAATAATTAACAATGAAATTACAAATAATACCATGACGAGCATAACATAGCCCAATAATCGTCTTGAACTATTTGTTTTATTCTATAAATCATTTAGAATATAAATTATATTATTTGGCAAACATCATCTACATACAATGAAATAAAGGACACTTCTTAACAGCATGATGATGACCACAAAGTACAGAATGCAAACCGGCATAAAGATTAATGGATGAAGACGGGAGGACCATGGTGAATATAATTTACGATTTCTTTACCAGGTTCAGATAATGAGTTTATTTGAATCTCTTCAGTATTCATCTGAGAAAATAACGATATATTGTTATTAATGAGAATCTGAAAAAAATGAAGATAACTAATATATCAAATAAAAAATAAACACGAAAGCACAAAGATACATGTGATGTGAACAAAGAAGAATATAAATCATCTGACAAAAAAATGAATTAAAATATTTATCTTTATACGACAGATTCAATTTCAAACACTTGTTCGTTCATAAGTAAATTTGGATTTTGATTAGTTTCAGTTGGTGGTGTTGATTCAGGTAAATCTCGGGTTACTTGTATACTATTGATATTGATTCTTGTAAACTTATACCAGCACATGTTCTATACCGAAAGTAAAAATATTCCGCCAGATAGAATCTACAAAAGCAAAAGGAATTTAAAAAGTTTTTGCGGCATTCTCTCTCTACTGACTGCTTTAATAATAATGTCTGCAGTAAGAGCCTGATAAATTTCATAAATAGCTATTAGACAATTAATAAGAACTGTTACTACACGAATGGACAATTCCTATCATTAAAAAAAGAAATTAGTAGAATGAAATAACTTAGTATGCTTACGAATGGATGATATAAATCAGTTTGATAATGAACAATGTTTCTTGAGGTGCGGGTGGGTGTAAGTATGTGGGTGTGGGTGGGTGTGAGTGTGGTGTGAGTGGGTGTGGACGGTGAGGGGGGGGGTGTGGGTCGGTGTGGTTGTGTGTGGATGAGTGTGGGCATGGGCGTGGAGTGTGGTTGCAGAGAACACCAAGAACGCATCCACGCTCCCACCCGCATCCACGCTCCCTACCCACACCCACATTCACACCCCACCCATACCCACACACCCACCCTGGCAAAGCAGAAAGCACATATTGTGTAAGGTACAGCCTAAGCACAAGGAGAGAAAGTGCTTTCCTGTTTGGTATCTTGAAAATACACAGTGAGACCCACCGATGGGTCTCATCGGGTCGAATGGGTTAATGAAGTTGCACGAATTTTAGGTACCAGAAATGTTGATAACATTCAAAGACGTTTGGTAAATATAAAACAAAAACAAAATTGACATTTAAAAATCAAAAAAGCATGATAACCAACGGGATATATATTTTATTGGTATCGCCAGCTTCTAATAAATCCATATGTAACACTTATTATTTTGTTATATTACAAAAATTTCTTAACAGAATCATAATATACAGTTTAAAAGGATAGAATATTAACAGTTCATAGCAAAATATTTTTTAAAATTATTAAAATCCACTATATTAGTGTATTCATAACATACTAGACAAAGAACATTCAAATTAACAATAAAAGATAACCACAAAAAAAGAGTAATGTCATTATCGCTATGATACCACAATATATAATATTCAGTCCAAAGATTTTTTGGCCAAAGATTTTCAATCGAAAAGCAAGAACTGAGTGCAGCAGATCGATTTACATTATATTAAGAATTATAGATTGATCTGTTTAAAATGAATCATAATGATAGAATATTAACCGCTCATAGCCAAACATTTCGCACCATTGGTTAAATCTCTTCTATCTACAAAATATTTTATAAAAAGTTCAAGATAAAAACTCGAGACACAAAATGAAAAATACATAAAAAAATAATAAGAAAAACTAAGGAATGTGGTAAAGCACAAAGACATTTCGGATGATATGGCAATTGGATGAAAAATTTCCACCAACCCAAAAAAGTCACCACTCAAATGTCGTTGGTCGCACAATATTGAAACTCCATCTCAATCTTATTAATGACTGAAAAATTATTACCGATTCAAATTCACATAAACCACTAGCTAGCAGAAATACAATAATAAATTAAGCAATTTCTTTAACAAAATTCATCGATTAAAGTAAAACAAAGAATATAACAAATAAAAATACAATACGGCTCCTCACTGGAATTCACCAATTGCATTAAAATCCTTGGTAGTACATTCTCGCCCATTTCAATTATTTAATACCGAACAAATTATATTACTCCATCTGACTATAAAACTTCAGTCAACAAATCAATATTCTTCTCAAGTTTTGCTGCAACAAAACATCTTAATATAAACAGAAGCTTCATCGTTTAGTAAAAGTGTTCATTTCATTTTCATATTCGTTTGCTCCTGTTTAACAACAATAATAATTTATTAATTTCATATTTTATTGAATTCCACTTTTTTGTAAATAGTCTTTTCTATTATTTGCTCATCTGCTTCAAATTGTTTTGCAGTGCCCTGAAGAGTGTTTTAATATTTTAATATAATAAACACGAAACGCGTCGGCGTCAAAAAATTAAACTGCATAATTTTTCTTCATTCAATTTCAATCAAGCACAGTATTTTTTTTAAAATAAAATATTCTATCGACTTGATCGGTTGCTGAAAAGCAAGAATTGAGAGCAGCAGATCAATTTATATTGTATTAAAAACTATCGATTGATCTGTTTAAAATTAATGATTATACCCACACCCACGAATACCAGATATCGTCAATGTTACTCACTCAATCGTATCAAATGACACAGCTATCAGTATAAAAGGTTCAAAGTAATTTTAATCAATATATACTTAGTAGAAATCTACTAAGTTCTTTTTATCATTTTGATTTGCCAGTAAACTCTGAAGTTACGGTTTTATATACTTTCGTTAATTCAGTGAAGGAGTAAATTTCCTATTAAGGTGTGGGTGTGGGTGTGGATGGGTGTGAGTGTGGGTGTGGGTGTGGGTGTGGGTGTGGGTGTGGGCATAGGTGTGAATGTGGGTGTGGGTGTGAGTGTGGATGTGGGTGTGGGTGTGGGTGTGGGTGGGTGCGGGTGTGTGGGTGGGTGGGTGGGTGTGGGTGGGGTGTGGGTGTGGGGTGTGGGGGTGGGGGTGTGTGGGTATGGGCCAGGGTGGGCTCGTTAGTATCTCGTCATGGGCACCCATACCCACATCCACACCCACACCCCACACCCACACCCACACCCCACACCCACACCCACACCCACACCCACAACCACACCCACACCCACAACCACACCCACACCGACGCATCTTAAATAGGTAATGTTGGATGTGTTATTGAAGCTTGTTATAATGTTAATAATAATTGTTCTGTTTCTGTTAATGGCTATAGGTGTACAAATCGTTAATGCTATAAAATGTACAAATGATTCTGTTTCTTCAGTTGGTGGTGGTATCAATAGTTCATCTGATGATGACTTTCAAATAAAGTCGAAAATTCATGAATTTCTATAATAGATGTATTGTGTTCATTTTAATAAAGGTGAAATACATTATGTCGTTACACTCTCAGATTGTATTGCATCTAATTATTATTTGTTTTCAATTAATAATTTTTGCTCAAGTTATTCAAATTTATTTAATTTAATTTATTCTTATATGAAATGATGCAGAATTAAATACTTTTTCTGATGAGAGCAAATTAGGCACAAAATATTTTCAGAATCTTGTACATTCTCGCTAAATAGTGGACTGCTACGAACAGACTGAAGGTTTTTGCTTGAATTTGATGCCAAAAAAGCATGGTTCACTGTTCTACATAGAATTAATGATGAACTATCTATGAAACATTACTGGCTTAAGTTGGCATGCTTGTACGTGTTCATGCTCTCTCGATCCAAATTATTTTATTTAATTGTGGGTGCAGATGTGGGTGTAGGGTGAGTGTGGAGTATGGGTGGGTGTGGGGGTGTGGCTGTGGGTAGGTGTGGCTATGGCTGTGGTTATGGCTGTGGCTGTGAGTGTGGGTGTGAGTCTTTCTTTATTCGTATGCACACGAAGACACCCGTACCTACACCCGCATCCGCACACCCACACCTACACCCCACCCATGTGTTTGTATACTTAACTTCGAAAAGCCAATATTTATCTCTCCACAACAGCTCAAAATATGGAACTCAAATAGAATTATTCATACCGAGATCTTTCAATTGAAAATTCAAAGTCTTGAAAGTCTGCTCTAAGAGAGAAGCAGATTCTGCATTCTTTGAAGGTCAAATTTTCGCTACTTGAACGATTGATATCTCAACAAGGAAATAGCATTAGCCCAAAAGGTTTCAGGGTTTTTATACTTCATTGAGGTGTACATATGGGCAAAAGATGGGGTCAAACGGCGTGGGACAGTTGGGATACTTTCCTCGTAGGATATGTCAACACAAACTCTTGTTGATAGAAAATAGTTGTACACGATCATTAAAATAATCAACAACATAGAGATTTCCAGCAAGATCGAATGACAAATCAAAGGGAAAGTGAAGTTGATCAGATCGAGAACCTCGACCTTGACCACCGACGATAACACTTCCGGATTTGGCATCACGTGGCCACCGCATTATTCGGTCATTTAAGGTATCAGCCACATAGACAGTTCCCAATTGGTCTACAATAACACTCGTTGGAGAGTGAAGTTGTTCTGTGCCATTACCCAGCAATCCACCAGCAACAATCGAGGTTTCCATTGATCCAGCATCTAATTTGATCACTCGATGATTTCCTTCATCGGTCACAAAGAGAGACCGATATTGATCAACGAATAGCAATCGCGGAGTTTTAAGCCCTTTTACGATCAATTGTCCATTGATGTCGCCCACACGCCATTTCCTCACTTCGCCTCTTTCATAATCAACCACATAAAGTGATCCTTGATCATCTTGTGCTATGCCAGACGCTACGACATTTTCAATTATTGTTTCCCCACTTTGAGCACCTCGAAACCAACGCTGAACGCGCCTATTGCCAGAGTCACTAATGTACATTGTTCCATTTTTATCGACGACAACATCGGTGGGTACGTATAATTGATCATTTTGATTTCCTTTCCCTTTTCCACCAGCCACTAGTTGACCACTCGAAGCACCACGCTCCCATTTCATTATACGATTGTTTCCTTCATCTACCACATAAGCAGTTTGATTGTCATCAAGGAAGAATCCTTGAGGAAGATCTAACTGATTGAATGCAGATCCTTGCATACCGCCACCAACTATAGTGATGCCATTTCGAGCCCATGTTGCTCTTGCACAAACACCGTCACCAGGTCTTGGCGGGACTAAATGAATGAAGATAATTAAAGATATGAATTTTCGAGTACAACAGATTGATTCTTCAATTAAGTTGAAAGTTAATGTCATTTAATTGGTATTCGAACGATTGAGATTGATCGATTATGGTTTCTTTTACCAATAATCAGACAACAGCGAATAGCATCTCTATCTGGTCGAAAAACTGTTGCTTCGCGTGATTATTTAATTGAAAACAAGATTAACGATGGTTTAGATCAAAACCATGAAGGTAAATGTTTTATAGGAGGCATTACACGTAAGCCACGACCAGCGCTGCTCAACAAATGTAACCGATTTCGCTTATATTTTTACATCAGGTAGCCCTAACAAAGTTAGGAAGAAACTGAAAATTTCAGCTCAAATGGATGAACTATTCTGGAGATATAGACGATACAAGTATGAGAGGGTGTGGTATATTTGTGGTACTTTGGTGTGTCGTACTTTTCAGGGTTGTGGGTGTGGGTGTGAGTGTGGATGTCAACCATTTTCTAACCTGCACCCACACCCACACTCACACCCATCCTACTTGTATCGTCTATATTTCCAGAATAGTTCATCTGTTTGAGCGGAAATTTTCAGTTTCTTCCTAACTTTGTTATGACTACCTGCTGTAAAAATATAAGCGAAATCGGTGACACTCATTGAGCACGGTTCTGCAGGAACCGATCGTGGCTTAGATGCAATGGCTCATAGACGAATATTCTAGCATTACAGAATTTTTGAATAAAGATGAATTTCATATCAATTCGTGTTGAATTCTCTTCAATTACTTACTTGTTTTCGGTGGACAAATTCGCTGATCGGTCATCGACAGTGGATAGCAGACTGGATGATCATAACAGCGAGGATGACGAATACAAATATGATTAGGTTGATAACAAATATTATTTAAATATCCACATGAAACAAGTTCAGAACAAGTCAACCAGAGAAACCCACAAGTCTTTGTATCATTGGCAGTTGTCATTTGAAGACATCCACATGCACTATTTGTCGAACATTGACTATATTGAACTGTATCATAACACGTTTCAGTTCGAACGTAATCTATTCAAAGGCAGAATCAGTTGTTTTACAAGTGAAAAGAAGCGAGAATCAAACCCGTAAGGCTAGAAAAGAAAGTCATTGGGTTGTAGATCAATAAAAACCAAAAGAAGCGAATGTCCATTACCTGAACAAGAGAAGAACAAAGACGTGCATCATCAATGTGATTTTAGATGAGAACTATTGTTTGTTTCGTCTCTTTTCTTTTAGTGAAGCACGTTGTTTGTGTGAGATACCTGTTAAAACATTAATCGAAATCGTTCTGCTACCTTTAGTAAAACAAAGAGATAAATCGGTGACACACGCGTCTGATAACACGTTGCCATTGCTGTGTGTTGGAAAGAGTGCTAGAAAATGCGAAGCCAAAAGCTGACTCAAGATTCTATAAAGAATGCTTATACAATGCATTCACATTGCTGAATAAAAGAAAGGCCGATTGTTCCTCGTTCGAACATGAGACAAAAACAATATTATAATTAGATTTTATTCGCTATACAGGTTCTTTTTGTAAATATATAGGCACCACCTGTAGTTTAAACGGTTTCTTTTTGCATACGAAATTGGTTACTACTGTGGGTAAAATACATGTTCCTTTGTCACTTGGACGTGCAAAATGCTGTCATTGAGCAAATAAGAGAACGTAATCAATAAAAAATGAAAGAATAGATAAGAAAAAGAAAAAGAAAAAGATCGATTCTACGACACACACAGCTGTCGATTTTTATTAGTCACTTTCAAATACAAAACCTTTGCAAGAACAATTTTTGTTTCTCGTTACTATTTTTCGAAGACAATAAGCCACAGTTCGGAATCAGCTGACAATCAAAGACAGATAGCCTTATCAATTGGACAGCCCGTTACTGTTTCAAGTGGTTTCAACGATGAGTACGCCGACGTGGATGATCCTGACAATGCTACTTATCGAGTGAGCTGTTTTCGATGCTGTTGACGCAATAATCGAAGTAGGGTGTGGATGTGGGTGTGGGGTGTGGATGTGGGGTGTGGGTGTGGGTGTGGGTGTGGGTGTGGGTGTGGGTGTGGC